CCATTTGTTTAAATAATGGACACCCTAGACCCCTCATAATTCGCACTTTTATCAACATTTATGACTCTCGTTTGTAAATAACGGAATGATTCATTGCCGCATTTATTGCGCATTAGGAGAAGTCATGACGCCTCTGCCAAGAGTATGCTTTTGAATTGATGAGAATTAGCCTACTATCGGCGTATGTCACATGAATACTGATACACTGAGCTGCAGATGAAGCATATAGAAAACACGCACACAGTCATCCCACAACCTTTGACGGAGTGTCAGGCAGGTGGAAATATTGGGCTCTAAGCCTGTTGTAGGCAGTTCCCATCATTTCCTTATTTATGGCTTAATTCCTTTGGAACCGGTGGATCCAGTTGAGTATTCGCCCTAGCCTGACATCGATTAACCCAGGTGTTGAACAGGCACAGGTTTCACTTCACTATGTCAAAGCAGTTTCAGATCAGAGGAAGAAATCTAATAGTTGGGGGGGAAAAGCGCTTAGACGCGTGTGAAATGGAAAAGCTGACGGGCTTGTTCGGCGCAAAGGAAGTCACCAAAACATACAAACCCAAGCTTGCTTCCTAACTTTTTTCTTCTTTTTTTTTCGTTTTGGTGCAAGATCGTCCCCTGTTTGTGACCAATATGAACTCCAGTTGAACATGACAGTCATCAGAGGACTTCATCATCACAGTAGAGACTGAAAAGCCTCTGTCATTGGAAATAATCGATTGTTTTTACGCAAGGACACTTATTTGCGTTTTCACAGGGGGGAGACCAAACAAAAAGGTAAACGTTTAATTTTTTATTGTTAATACGTCTTGTGGTTCAATTAAAGTCCGGAAAGACGTTTTTCTATATTAGCTATAATGCTTATAGTCAATTACCTTTTTTTTGCCATTGCGTATTAATACTGCCACATAGCTAAAGTGACACATGTATATAAAATATTTATTAATATCCGTTTATGGGTCAATGATGTGATGCTAATTTTTGTCCGGATCTAATAACTTCATCAGCACTTCTTGAGTACACATACTCTATAATGAACATGTTTTCAGTGTCTTAATTAAAGTCATTTTGATATTTTTTGTCTTTATTCTTGTGGGGCTTGAAGTCAAAAATGTTTAGATAGTTCGGAAATTGTGAAAATAACAAATAAATAAAAAATTGTCATTACCGTTCTTGAAATTGCTGGTGTCATTAGCTTGGTAGTCTTTAACCAACATGCAGGAAGCCATTTTGTTTTCATGTGACAACCATAAAACAGAGACCCCTGAAGACCCTCATGACTGTGTGATGATTTTTTTTTTCTTCATATATTTTGAACTTTTTATGAATATATTTTATTTTGTTTAGGTCAAATAGATTAACCCCAAGAAAACGTCTCGATATTCCTCAATAATGTTATATTTTCTTCATTTTGACTTATAGAAGAATATAAGTTTAAGTTTTAAATGTTATAAAGCATCAGTGAAAATAATGATAATGTGGTGTAGAAAAGTATTTTAGAAGTTCTTTCTTGATGGTTATACCACTTGACAATTGTAGAGTCATAAAAGTTAATTCTTCATAGAAAATAATATTTATTTTTTCATGTGTGAAACCAACATGAATCCAAAGAGAACATTTCTAAGAACACAGTACATGTGGTTTGCATTAAATTTTTAGCAGTTCTCTTTTTACGATTTCGGACATCCTTCACTGGATTCGTCATTGACCCATATAGCACATACAGTATAACTTCCATTAAATCTCAAAGGAGTTCAATTGGAAATTATTTTTTAACTAGGAAAGAGATATTACTTGTATGTCGACTGTTCATATTGAGGAATTAATCGGGGTCAGCACTGTTATGCTGTAGTGCTGGATGAAGGCTGTGTGCCGTGATCAGTGTGTATGCTAGGGCCCCTGGAGAAGCGCGGCGCCATACATTAAGGGCAACTTCACTCCTAATGCTTTGCATGACATGTTGTTTAGTGCATTTAATTTGAGGGCTAATTTCTTCTTCTAATCTGGTTGTATTTCCATATCAAGGAACTGTAATTTGTGTCTTGTTTATTCCAGAAACTTTGATCTGGCTCAGAGTATCCACGTGCACTTTTGTGTAATGTCAGATTATTCCTCATGATTTATGGAATTTCAGGAAAGATGGTTTTTGGTATTGTGTGATTCCTGACTTTATGAGGGCTAATTGGGTAGCAAAAAGCTAACTTTATAGTTTACTGATTTATCAGTTTTTAATGTTGTATGTGCACATTATAGTTAATAATGCTTTTAAGACCGTGCATTTCCACAGATCATTATGTAAGAGTGCAGGGCAGAGAAATTATTTTATTATTCTATCAATCAAACAAACAGTTATTTTCTGTCTTGTGCATTTGCTTAGATTTTTTTTAATAATCTGCGATTTAATGAAGCACAACAGTGAATATGTTTACGTAATATTAAACTACTTAATTGGGTTGCTTGATATTAACTTAATAGGTTTAGAAATACAATGCTTCAGCCAAATTTGTTTGTACAAATACTAATGTCAGTGCTTTATGAACTAAATCATAATTAGTTGTTAAAATTTTTAAAGTTGTTTAATATAAAAAAGATCACATTTCTCTTTCCAAACCTGACCCAGTGCTTGTAAATGCCTTACTCTCTGGCATAAGTGAGGTTCTGTAAGGATTATTTGGGTCAAGAGATTATATTTTTACACATGTACATGGAGCCATTTTTGCACTTTCTATGTCTGTGCAGTAGCTCTTATTTATGATACTGTCCTAATAAACGTCATGGAATTTCTCATTTTATCCGTCACCACTAGTGAAAATTACATTCCTCCCAGTCCGTTCTAGAATATTAAACCAGTAAACGCTTGTTAATGCTATGATCAGTTGTCTTTGTAATATTTTGATGAAATTCTTTTGTAAATGATTATTTCATATGACTGTGCTCTTCTAATATAAGCCTTAGATTTATTGTTTTAGTTTACTTAAAGTAAAGCTGTGTAAGTTATAGAATATGTTATATCGTGGCGAAACGTGTTTCTGTCCAGCACTGAGGTTGGTTTGAAATGATCTGATGGACGATATACATCAGATGAGGCATTGCATTACTGATTTTCGCAGCTCACTTGCTCTGTCCAAGCATTTAATTTTAGACTTATTTTTCAATAGAAGGACCTGAAACTCAGTGAAAACATGGCAATTTTCACACTTTGCATGCATCTTTTTTTGCCTAACCAGGAAGTTGTCACTTCCCTAATACTTCACAAGACAATTTAGAAATGTTTTATATAAAATGCATTTAACTTTTTAGAGTATGCATGGCAGTAACCGAGTAATAGACAATAATAGACAGTTGCATTCAGTTCAGAAGAGCTCAAATTTGTAACAGAAAAGTGTAACGTTGAGGAGTCGTACATTCGTGTATTTCTGCACAGCAGTTTGTTTATGTTCCAGAGATACTGATTTGCTGATTTGGAAATGAAAAATTTATTACAAAAACTGTCGACATTGAACGCCTAGTGTTTGTACGTTGGTGTTGTATAATTTAAGAGGCAAAACTGAACTTAGCAGTTTAAATTATTAAAATCAAATTATTATATAATTTCTTGGTCACTCATTACTTTTTAAAAGACCTTCTTGTTCTGTACATTAAATTTCACTAGATATGAAAATATTCACTGTAATCGTTTAAAGAAAGCTGTGCCAGTAATGTTTGTCAAATGTACATTTTCTATGCATGTACATTCATCTAATTTCTAACTCATCTTCATTTTACAGTTCTGCTCCCTGAATATGGACATGGAGGCGTCGAATGGCTATATTGCAAGTAAGTAAGGTTTTTTGCATATGGCCATATTCAAGAAAATATATTTTTAACACATAAAAGCATGTTAAAAGGCATTTTTGAGGGGTTTTATGCTTGTCAGGTTAATTCAAAATGTGTCTTCAGAGAGTCTTTTTTATGAATTATGTCTGTTGCATGGATTTTGTTTTTCATTTGTTTATATATTTCCTCAGTGTTGTTTACTGTATAATTATTTTATAGGAGAGTTAATTGGAGACATTGAAATAGAAATAATAGCACAGTAATTGTTTAACTGTAATCAATCAGAGCACATACAGACCTAAAATAGTCAAGCAGTTCCGCCATCACAGTGATTTTATCATGTCACCTGCTTCTCTCATGCTGAGTTTGAGTATAGCACACACTTCATTAGGTTTAGACTTTAGCGTATTGGTAATTGTCATTTTGCTCTGACTTCTGAAAATGAGCTTCACATATTTGGATCAAGGTTTATCAAGGAATGCTTTCGGTTTGGATAACCAGGTCATCTAAAAGCTTCACTTTTTTGCATTGTAGACATAATTTGTTGCTTTTTTTTGCGTATGTATTGATTTATTTTAGATAGGCTATCTAAATCCAGCAGCACTGTGGGTGTTTTTCTGCAGCTGTAAAGCCAGTTTTGCTTTATGAATATGTGCAGTAGTCAAGCACACTAGCTGCCCCTAAGATCCCGTTCAAAAGCTAACTCTTGGCTCCTCTTGAGATTTGTTATCTGGACGGAGCTTCAGTACCAGGTGCACAGTGGTACCTTCAAGCCTGTTAACTCCCCCGGCAGATTCCCTCAGATGGAACATGCTGATAAAACGTCCCTCATCTAAAAATTCTTGCAGGTGTCTTGGAAAATGAAAAGTTTACAGTTTAACTTGGTTCCATGCACTTTTAAAGGCTTTTTCCTTTCTTAAAGGGCTTGCTATATTTAAAAACATGATTGAATGCAGATCCACGCCTTGTTTTTGCCTTGTTTTTGAATAGCATTATCACATTTCAGAAAACGTAACTCTTTAGAGTAAAAGCTAACAAAGTGCTGATGACTTTAAACTGTGTCTCAGAAGTGTCAAAGTGTCTTCACAGCAATATTTTGCTTATTTTCACATCATTTACACAGTTTCTTCCTTTCTTACTAAAACCACTTAGTGATTTGGGAATACTTGAACAGCAGCTCGGTTTCTGTTTCCTAAAAAAAAAGAGAGTCTTACGTTTGTCCATCTCAGATCACAGGCTAATACTTCAGCCTTTTGTACAGTAAACTGCTATTGATATGCTAATATGACCGTGTCCCCTTCAGCTTGTCCTTTTAAACAAGAGCAGTTCAGTAGTGGCAGGTGGTGAGGAGCGTGAGTGGGAATGTGTTTTGTGTTTGATGTGGAAGGATGGTTTGGAGGTGTGTGGATGGACAGGATAAACCTGATCCACGCTCGAACTTTAGCATCTACGACATGCCACAACCAATCACTCTCTTTCTTGGGAGAAGCGATCCTGTTAAAGACTCAGTTTTTTGTCTAGTATCGGCACTCTGGCACAGAACCTGCCTCCAAGCTCCACCCCCAGTACTGGAATAGAGCCAGTGGCAACCATGATGCACAAATCACTTCAATGTTCTATCAGCTATTGAGTTTAATGATAATATTTGCATAGTAACCCAAGCATAACCAGCTCGATTTTAAACAGTTTCTGGTGAACTATGCAACAAAATTTAGCTTGTTTGTCTTCCTCCTGAACTTAAAGTCAACATAAAATCCAAATTAACCATATTCATATGTATTATTTATCATATGATTCATGGGTGCATGAAAAAAACTATTCATAATTTTTAGTTAAATTGAACTTTTTCCAGTATTCAACATCCACGCTTTGTGCTTCAACCAATACCTGATGAATAAAAATCTTTTTTTTTCTTTTTTTTCTCACTAAATATCCAGTTTCACTGTAAAATCATTATAGAAGTCACACGTGTTGCATTTCACGTTGACTTTAACCCGTGGGCCACTATTGAAAACACCCCCAATTATTTTCCTCGTCGATCCACCAAAAAAAAAAGCGCATGGAACAGTCCATTCTGTAGGTTGCTGTTTGATTGGTATACACACAGCCTTAGCGAATGAGTGAATCGGGATCTGATTCTGACTCAGCAGTGGCACAGGCCAGACCTGTAGTCACTCCTGTAGTCTCCAAAGGGCCTACGGATTTTCAGCATGCATCACTACACGGGGGAAGATGGTAGCCTTATTAATATAAACCGTATGCTGTAGGCCGTCATTACAAGAGAGCTCTCGGCCCATCAACAATCATATGTGTGGGAATGTCAGTGTGATTTGTAGAACAAATTAAACAAAGTGGAATCATTGTAAAACTGTGAAAACCACATATTAATGTGCGTCAGAGATTGTTGATATGATAGCAGAGCCAAGCACAGACTGCAAGACTGCGTAATTGGGAAACCAGACCCAAAAAAGAAATAAATATACATTTTTTTGCGTAATTTATAATATACTACCAATCAGAAGTCAGTAAGACTTTTTAAAAAATAAATTCATACTTTTATTCAGCAAGGATGCTTTAAATTGATCAAAAGTGACAGTAAAGACATTTATGATGTTGCAAACGATTTCTATTTCAGATAAATTCTGTTCTTTTAAGCATTCTTTCTATCAGGGTTTCCACAAAAAAAATATTAGGCAGTACAACTGATTTCAACATTGATAATAATAATAAATGTTTCTTGAGCAGCAAATCAGCATAGTAGAATGATTTCTGAAGGATCATGTGACACTGAAGACTGTAGTAATTATTTTAAATTGTAATAATATTTAGCAATATTACTGTTTTTCTATATTTTTGACTGAAGAAACTGCGTGTACTACATACTAATTCATCTAAAGACAAGTTTTAAAGACAAGCTGTGAGTCTTTAAACATGCACAGGGTAATAAACTTAAGTCTTGTAGCATGTGCTTGGCATTGGAAATGATATTTATCATGGTTCGGTTTAGATGTGGGATAAGAGAGCGGTTTCAGTCGCTACTGTACAAGAGTTTAGTTTACTCTCACAGATCTCTTTTCTTGAGAACCTTTCTCAGGCCAGGAGGCCATCAGACACAGCGTTCTGTTATGGAAAATCCTCCCCTCGGCCGTCACTCAAATCGGAGTGGCTGCTTGTTTCCCGTTGCCAAGGGACTGCCGGTTACCTGAGATTTCCCTCAACCCCGGCACCGTAACCAGAGACGGGCTTTGGGATTGTGTCATTGGCTGCGTCTCCCTGAGTTGCTCTCCCTGTCAGAATGACAGTGTCTGTCTGCCAGCATGACAGCACAGATATCTGTCGCTTGATGTACCTCAAACGCCCTCATTTACTGATTCATTTACTTTAATCACAAATGTAAAACTTTTATAGGGCATGCAAGTTAAAATAGTTTGGGGATTGAAATAGGACTTGTTGATTCACAAGAACAATACAGGCAAATGAATCTTTAAAAATGCCATGAATACTGTATTAAAGCCCTTTGGCAGACTGACTCTGCTACACAACAAGCCTGTTTGAAGGAGGGACTGACAAGATTTAGTACATTGGTTAGAGATATAACAGCCAGCTTAACTGTGACATCCAATGTACTTTCCAGTCATAAACGCGGAGTTCAAGGAATGATCTAAGCCGCAATACCACCCTTGGTGGCTGTGTGTATGCATAATGCAAGCATTAAGAGCTGTCTAATGTCGTTGCCGTTGTATTGAGTGTTTGGCTCTGAAGGGGTCAGTGGGTAACGGGATCAGGGAGCAGGAATAGCTCCCCCTGAGTGGACGCGTTGAAGCCGTATTATTTCCCGAAGCCGGTGTGCGGCGGGTGCGGAGAGATGAGGAAATCCAATCTGAATCTTAAGGATGTGGCTGAAAGCTTAACAAGCTCTCCCCACATGAGATGAGGGCACACCGTCTCTGTATACTGAAGTGTTGAGCTGGTCACTGACCCTAGAGAAATTTCAGCTCCGGTAACAGAGACGGGTGCTATTAAAAGCAGTTAGTGTATACAGTACCTGAAAACCATTGGATACTGTATGTTGCTCTCCTTTACCAAGTTATCAACGAGTATTATGGAGGATCATAGAACATTTTAGATGGATATCTATTTAGAGGATTCAAATGTACAGAAATGTGTAAATTAATCAGTCGAGTTGATTCAGTCATTTTATTTAATTAAAATTATTTTAAATATGAAATGATGTCAAATAAAAATATGTATATATGATAGACATAATTATATACATAAATAAATGTGTATTATTTATTTCATTCATTTAAATGGACCACAGCTTACCTAAAAAAATCATTTTTAATTTTGTAACTGTTAAATTATATAAATTATATAAATATTTTTATATGCATTATTACATTATGTCAGTATTATATAATATAATTAAAAATATTCAGTTTAATAAATCAGTAATTTTTTTTTTTTACATTTTAGGTGGTATATTTAAGTTGTATGATAGAGTAAATAAAGAGTGTTAAGAAGCAGACTGCAGTAGGAAGTAGATTTAAACAGAAGTCTACATTATTTTAACTTCATCTTTCTTTTAGATGATATAGTCCTAGATATGTAAAAAATAACATTATTTCATGAGTGATATACAGTATACAGTGACTAGTTGAACATGTGTTTCACTTCATATCTGTTGCTATGTTGTGTTGAACACTGTATTAACCAATCAGCATCTCAGACCAGAACTGTAATAGAGTTTTGAACAGTAAATAAATTGCTGTAAAAAGTATAATAACCAGTATTCAGTACAACGTTTTAGTTGAAAGTGTATTTGAGTAATAAATGACAGTAAGAAATACATCTAGAATAGTTTTTGTTGTAGTTATCCTTTATTCAGTTTCTTCTTTGACTGATAATCTCCCAAGTGCAGCAGTTATGAAAGGTGTTCCTTGAACTGTCTGCTTGTATAGATCTGAGTTCAGAGCTGTATTTAGCCACAATAGCTGTGCTGCCTGGAGCAAGGCGATGTCCTCAGCGCATTTGTTTCTGTCTGTCTCCTAGGTAACGGCGACTGCTCTCCCAGGAAGGAGAACTCGAGAAAGCTGGTGGACCTGTCGACCAGCACACCCAATGGCCAACGTTCCCAAAGTCCTGATTCCCCTGCTGGTGAGTAGGCCCCTCTTCTAAAAAGTCCACTCCCAGCAATACCTGTTCCCATTTTACTTTTTAAAGATGTGCTGCATTGATTCGATTATCTTAAAGGGATAGTTCACCCAAAATTATGTTTCTATTATCATGTAGCTACCTGCCCTCATGCACTCTCAGACAAATGCATTACCTTAAGGTACAAAAGCTAAAAGGTATTCTTTAAAAGTACCATTTAAGGTACTATGTATGTACCATTT